CATACTCCATGAAGTGCCGTGCATCACAAAAAAAGGCATCACTAAGCCTAGTTCAGTAGTGTTGCCGAGAGGGCACAGGAAGATTTCTGAACTGGGCTTGGACATGGCAACATGTTTTCATCCATATTCCTATCTCATAGGAGAAATGCACAGCTCTTGGAGATCAAATTCTATCTTCACACTGAAGATTCTTGATACATAGTCCCATTTGCCAGATAATGCTAGTTCAAAACAAAATTGGAAGCTCAAAATTGGCAATCTGTGAGGAACTATGGATCACCAGCTCCATAGCCCAACAGTTCCTTTGTTCCAATGGGCAACCATAGGCCAGTTGGCCAACATCTGTCATAGAAAATTGCTAGAATTCATTAGTGAAGGTTATTGCAAATCACAGAATTGATTCCGTACAGTGTGGAAACAGCCCACTGCATCTGCACCGATTCTCTGAAGAGCATCCCACCTAGACCTAAACACTATAATGGTAACTCATTTACCACCGAGCTAGCCCACACATCCCTGAACACTGGAGCAATTTAACATGGTTAATCCACCTAACCCACACACCCTTGGAATCTGGCTGGAAACTGGAGCACCCAGCAGAAACCCACACAGACACCGAGTGTGCGCAAACTTCAGATGTCACCACGGGATAAAGCAGAGTCAACAGTTTTATGAAAATGAAATCACGTTTATCTCATTTAGACACTGTTGATTAAGTAACAAACAAGATGAATAAAGGGGACCATGTAGGTGTTTTAGTTTGATTTCCAAAAGGCAGATGGCATAAAGATAATAGTGGGTGATTTAACAAAGATACACAAATACTTCACTAGTAGGAATAAGGGAATAATTTTCAGTTTGCAAGCTGTAAGTAGTTGAGTGCCACATGGATCAGCTAAGGCCTAAACTAGTTGCAATCTATTGCAATACTTTGCATGAAGGGTCTGAAGGTACGATTGCTAAATTTTCTCAACACACCAAGATAGATAGGAAAACTAGTTTCAAAAAGATGTTAAAAAAGTCTGCAAAGTGAATAAGTTAAGAGAACAGGGAAAAAATTAGCAATAGGAGTATAGTGTGGGAAAATCTGAACTTGTCCCTTTTGGTTAGAAGCATAGGAGAGCAGTCTACTAAAATACACAAGATTTAAGAATCTGGTGGTTCAGAGGGAGATGGGTCAGACACAAATCAACATTAGTATGCAGATACAGAAAAAAGTTAGGAAGTAAATGGAACATTGGTATTGTATTGTGAGAAGAACATAAAACTAAAGACACAATAAAATGCTGCTTCAGGTCAAAGGTGAAAACACATCTGGAGTACGCTGTATAGTTTCCATCTTCTCGTTTGAAAAAAGATTAGAATTGTGCTAGTAGTTTAAAGAAGGCTGATTTTAACTCGCTCATTCTGGGCTAAAAGGCTTAATCATTGAAAACTGAGTTCAACAGTTTGGGCTTAAAGCCATTGGAGTTAAATGTGGAAGGTGGTGATCTAATTGAAATGAAATCCTGAGGGGAATAGATAAGGGAATGCCAATCTTGTAGGAAAGATGAGAATTAAAAGATCAGTAAGAATAAGAAGCCTCCCTTTTAAATCAGAAGTGATTAAATAATTTTATCTGTGGAAGTCTCAAGCCTAGAAAGCAGTGCCGACTGGGTCACAAATTTATTCAAGCTCAAGACAGAAATTTTTGATGGACAAGGGAGTCCAAAGTTTCATAGGTCAGGCAGAAAAGTGGAGTTGAGACCACAACCATTTCCACTAGGATCTTAATGTCCAGCAGAGCTGGCTCAAAAGAGGTCTTTTCCTAAATCTACATTCCATGATCATCAAACCTAGTGACCACCCCTTTGGGGAAAGTTACACAGTGTGCATGATGAACAGTAAAAACAACATAACTATAGAAATCAAGCATCCACAACCAATAGATTAAATCAAAACTCTGCAATTCTGCCACATATTGTTGCGATTAATAGTGGACAATTAACAACAGGAAGTAGTTCTGTATCTAGGCTCTTTCTCAAAAGTGGTACAGCACGCAAATGTAAAAAAACAAGGATTAAAACATTTGCAACTATCTGCAGCTAGAAATCCCAAGTGGAGGATCATCTCAGCTTGCTGAGAATTCCAGCACAGATGCTAACTTCCAGCCAATTTGATTCATTCCACGAGGAAATGGCTGAAGGCACTTGATATAGAAGTGGGTATAGGCTGTAGCAGCATTCTGACTCTCATTGAACACAAACACTTCAGAAGTAGCCATGTCCTCTAGCCAAGTTATTCCAATACAGCTACAAACATTGGCACTGAACAGAGAAATTTAGGAATGTCTTTTCTAACACACAGGACAATTTGATAAGTTTCACTCAAACGCAAGATAGGTTGATTTGAAGGTAATTTTTTTTGTTTCATTTTATTAATAGACAGGCTTTACATTTCAGGAAAAGAATCCCAAGATCTTTCCTGCTGTATGTGTTTGCATTTGGCTTCTGTGGTCTAGGCTCCCAGCCAAAGTCATTAGAACAAGATATTCAAACTGACAGGAAAGCATTTTGCCACCTTTCAAACTCCTTTACGCAAATACCAAATCCAAGACTAATGACACCATACTTGTTCAATCTGTCTGTGAAATTGACAGCTATTTTCCCACCTTTGTGATCAATTATCTCAAACGCAGCTAAGCTTCACTTCTACAAACAAGAATTGCACAAGCACTTCAGAGTATGGCATTTTCCACATTTCTCTGCATTGCTGTTACTGCTAAATGCATCAGCAAAAACCTGCACACCATCATGCCACTTGGTCAGTGCCACCTGTCAACAGGGTTACCAAGTGGATCTAATGTGGAAATAATCTGTTCCATATCCAGTTGGACAAAATGAAAAAAGTTGTGCTTATTGGAAAACAATAATTTCAGCCCCAGCTCATTGCTGAGGGGGTTCCTCAGTAGAATTCTACAACTATTCAGTTTACTTCAATGGCCATCCCTCCATTACAAAGATCAGAAGCAGAGATGTTTGCTGATGATTATAAAATACACACATCACAAGTCATCAGATAACGAAGCTGCGTCCACATACAGAAAGACCAATATGTGACAAGTCATTTTATACCCATACAGATGCAAGTGTGTGCCATTTACAAAATGCATTGTAGCAATTAACCAAGGCTTGCTGAAAGCACCTTCCAAATCTACCACGAGAGAAGGGGGCAACAGATGCACGAGAACACAAACTGCAAGTCACCCTCCAAATTAAACACCATCCTGATGTCAAACTACATTGCTGACCCTTCACTATCATTGGGTCAAAAGCCAGAAGCTGTTTCCCAACAACACTGCAGATGTATCTACACTAGACAGACTGTAGCAGGTTAAAGTTGGCAACTCACCATCTCCTTCTCAAGACCAACCAGGGACAGTCAATAGATGGTGAACCTGACAGCAAGTTACATTTCATAATGTTTGGAACACCTTTTAAAATATGTCCATAACTGTTCCAGACCCAAAGAGAAGAACCAATTACTTTATATTTACAGACAGAAGTCACCTTGTACCTATTCTGGTAAGTCTCCCAAGCAAGGCCTTGACATCCCTCAAAAAAAAATGCCCTCCAGAATTAGACAATGCCAGGGGTGAAATCTAGCCAGTGACTTGAACAGAAATTTTGAAAAAGCTTTTGTATTTTGGTAACTAAAGTAAAACAACAAAACTTGTGCAATTTTGCATTTTATTTACCTTTCAGGGAGAAACCTGAATTAATGCAAAGGGTAGAGAAATAAATTCTCACCCACGGTTTTTTGGATAAGAATGTATCACATGCAGCTGTTCAATTAGTTAATCATAGCTTGTCAAAAGAAAGCAAATGCAAAGCAAAATACCAAGCCATACAATCAAGGTATCATTGCTAATACATTTCCCCTCAGTCAGAGATGTTGTGAAGTCAGTGCTTGGGCATGACGCTCTCAGTCAGTGCAGGACTGAAGAAATATTATATTATTAAGAGAGCCACAGTTTATGCCTTCTAGTAACCATAAAAGGTTCATGGACACTGAACAATACAGAGTTCTACTTATGTCTTGGCTATTCGTGCCAAAACCAAGAACAATTATTCAAATACAATTGATTTAATTAGACTCTACTGGATTTAAATACCTACCTAAACTTTCTTCAAAGAACACTTCACCGCAGCCATATGGGTCTTCAAATAATAAGAAAAACAACAACTTTCTTGACCCTCTTGGCATCCTAACACTATTTACAGTACATAAGAGTACTTTTTAAATATAATCATTACTTCAATAAATGTATTGAATGTCTTCTCATGGATGGTTAAAGTAAACAAAAGAATACCCCCTCATAGGCAAATACGCCTTGGGCCAAATGGCCTCCAACGGTGCAAAGCGTGCTGAAAATCAGTACAGATTAATGTTAAATGTGAACTCTACACAACGGAGCTTCAATGAGAAATGTGCAGCTGAGGAATGTTTAAGCCTAAATGGTTAGGCTCCACTTCCAAACAGCACGTATTCAAAACTTCCAATTCAAAATCCCACAGGACCCAGTTAATGCAGGGGAAAAGAGGCCAAAGCATCATACCATCTCCTCGCACAGGATAGGGGTCTAAAGGGACTTCAAAAACATCCACACCCTCTATGAGAAAGGTGGAAATCACACAATATGATGCCCCAACGACGAAAAAGGGAAAGGAAACCACATTATCACCTCCAACCCAAAACAAAGGGGACCGGGGAAGGGGGAAAACCCAAACAATATCACTCTTCCAGGAGGAAAAAAAAAACACACCCACCAGCGCATCCCAACCAAATTGGAGGATGATCAGCGAGAACCATGGAATAGCACTCTCCGAAGGGAGAAGAGGGAAGGGGTCTCTCTTCTGTCCCCCGCCCCGCCCGGAGGAGGGATCGCGCGCACTAGGACCAACCGTCAACTCGGAGACATTTCATGACCTCAGCCAGCATCAAGACTTTAAAACACTCACCGGTCACCACACCGAAGAAGTAAGAAATCAACCGCTGATCATAAACGCAGATCGCTCACCAACCACTCTCTACCCCCGCCCCACCCGGCCGATCACTGTTAATATGGCGAAAAAGGGAGCGATGCTCGTCAGAAGAGCGGAGCGGGATTGGTGCGGCTACCGGAAATGGCGTGTGGTGTGCGACGTAATTGTGGATGAACACTTCCGACACCATGGTGACACCTGACTGGGATTCTAAGGAGACTCGAGAGAAGCATGTTCTTGTGTTTTGTGGAGTGTATTTTTGGGAAAGTGACCTCGTTCCCTTCACATCAGATTTGTTTCACTTACGCTTATGAAAAACAAACTAGTTTGTGGTGGGGGTCAGCATCATCTGTGGTCCCAGTTAATCTTTTCATTTTCAATTTTTAACCATCCAAAGTTGATATTCTCTTCCACCATGAGATCTTCCATCCACAGCGATTCTCACTAGTTTGTTTACTATTAAGATATACCCTGCCTTTTCCTAATGACGTTCAGCAGATTGCTTTGTTGACTCTTCTCAAAGCTTCAATGTCTATTACTTTTTTTCTGTTTTGGTTGGACAGGACTGGCAGTTTAATGTTCCAGGGTGTAGATGCTATAGGAAGGATTGAAAGGGGAGCAAGGGAGCAGGGGGCGTGGTGTTGATTAGGGGTAACATTATGGCTGTACTTAGGGAGGATATTCCTGGGAATATGTCTAGGGAAGATATTTGGGTGGAATTGAGAAATAAGAAATGGATGATCACCTTATTGGGATCATACAATGGACCTTCCCCCCCTCCCCCCACCGTAGTCAGGAGGTCTCAGTTATCTGTGAGAATAATAGCATGGTTATGGCAGGGGATTTTAATTTTCCAAACAAAGACTGCCATTGTATTAAGGGCTTGGATGGAGAGGAATTTATTAAAAGTGTACAAGAACATTTTCTGATTCAGTATGTGGATGAACCTACTAGAGAAGGTGCAGACCCTGACCTACCTTTGGGAAATATGGCAGGGCAGGTGACTGAGGAGTCAATCGGGGGGCACTTTTGGGGCCCGTGACCACAATTGAATTGGTTTTAAAATAGTGATGGAAAAGGATAGACCGGGTCTAAAAGTTAAAGTTCTAAATTGGAGGAAGGCCAATTTTGGCAATATTAGGCAAGAACTTTCAAAACTTCATTGGGGGCAGATGTTCACAGGTAAGGGGACAGCTGGAAAATGGGAAGTGTTCAAAAATGAGATAACGAGAGTCCAGAGACAGTATATTCCTGTTAGGCTGAAGGGCAACGCTGGTGGTGTATGGAATGCTAGATGACTAGAGAAATTGAGTTTTGGTCAAGAAAAAGAAGGAAGCATATGTCAGATATAGACAGTAGGAATTAAGTGAATCCCTAGAAGAGTACAAAGGCAGTAGGAGTATACGTAAGAGGGAAATCAGGGAGGCAAAAAGGGACATGAAATAGCTTTGACAAATAGGGTTAAGGAGAATCCAAAGGGATTCTACAAATACATTAAGGACAAGGGGTAACTAGAGACAGAATAGGGACCCTTAAGATCAGCAAGGCCACCAATGTGTGCAACTGCAGGAGATGGGGGAGATACAAGGAGGGAGGCTATGGCCTAGTGGTATTATCGCTGGACTGTTAATCCAGACACCCAGATAATGTTCTAGGGACCAGGGTTCAAATCCCTCCACGGCAGATGGTGGAATTTGAATTCAGTAAAATATCTGGAATTAAGAATCTAATGATGACCATGAATCCATTGTCAATTGTCAAACCCATCTGGTTTGCTACTGTCCTTTAGGGAAGGATCCGCCATCCTTACCTGGTCTGGCCTACATGTGCCTCCAGACCCACAGCAATGTGGTTGACTCTGAACTGCCCTCTGGGCAATTAGGGATGGGCAATAAATGCTGCCCTGTCAGTGAGGCTCTCACCTCATGAATGAATAAAAAAAACTAAACAGGTATTTTGCATTAGTGTTTACAGTGGAGAAGGATATGTAAGATAGAGAACATGGGGAAATAAATAGTGACATCTTGAAAAATGTACATATTACAGAGGAGGAGGTGCTGAACATCTTAAAATAAAGGTGGATAAATCCCCAGGATCTGATTAGGTATAGCCTAGAATCCTGTGAGAATCTAGGGAAGTGATTGCTGGGCCACTTGCTGAGATATTTGTATCATCAATAGTCACAGATAAGGTGCCGCAAGCCTGGAGGTTGGCTAATATTGTGCCACTATTAAAGAAAGGTGGTAAGGAAAAGCCAGGGAATTATCCACCATTGAGCCTGACATCGATGGCAGGTAAGTTGTTGGAGAGAATCCTGAAGGATAGGATTTACATGTATTTGGAAAGGCAAGGACTGATTAGGGATAGTTAACATGGCTTTGTCTGTGGGAAATTGTGTCTCACTAACTAGTTTGAGTTTTTTGAAGATTAACGAAGAGGATTAATAAGGATAGTGCAGTGGATGTGATCTATATGGACTTCAGCAAGGCGTTCGACAACGTTCCTCATGATAGACTGGTTAGCAAGGTTAGATCACATGGAATACAGGGGGAGAACTAGCCATTTGGATACAGAACTGGCTCAAACGTAGAAGACAGAGGGTGGTGGTGGACTGGAGGCCTGTGACTAGCAGTGTGCCATAAGGATCAGTACTGGGACAACTGCTTTTTGTCATTTATATGAATGATTTGGATGTGAACGTAGGAGGTATAGTTAGTAAGTTTGCAGATGACACCAAATTGGAGGTGTAGTGGAAAGCGAAAAAGGTTACTTCAGAGTACAATGGGATTTGATCAGATGGGCTGATGGGCTAATGGGCTGAGGAGTAGCAGGTGGAGTTTAATTTAGATAAATGTGAGGTACTGCGTTTTAGAAAGGCAAATCAGGGCAGGACTTATCCATTTCATTGGAAGATCCTAGGGAGTGTTGCTGAACAAAGAGACCTTGGAGTACAGGTTCATAGTTCCCTTAAAGTGGAGTTGCAGGCAGATAGGATAGTGAAGAAGGTGTTTAGTATGCTTGCCTTTACTGGTCAGTGCATTGAGTTTAGGAGTTGGGAGGTCATGTTACGGCTGTACAGGACATTGGTTTGGCCACTTTTGGAGTATTGCTTGCAATTCTGATCTCCCTCCCATAGAAAGGATGTTGTGAAACTAGAAAGGGTTCAGAAAAGATTTGTGAGGATGTTGCCAGAGTTGGAGGGTTTGAGCTATAGGGAGAGGCTAAATAGGCTGGGGCTATTTTCCCTGGAGCATCAGAGGCTGAGGGGTGACCTAATAGAAGTTTATAAAATCATGAGGGGCATGGATAGGGTAAATAAGTAAGGTCTTCTCCCCAGGGTGGGGGAGTCCAAAACTAGGGGGCATAAGTTTAAGGTGAGAGGGGAGAGATATAGAAAGGGCAACTTTTTCACAGAGAGGGAGGTGCATTTATGGAATGAGCTGCCAGAGGAAGTGGTGGAGGCTGGTAATGATTACAACATTTAAAATGTGTGTATGAATAGGAAAAGTTTAGAGGGATATGGGCCAAATGCTGGCAAATGGGGCTAGATTCATATAGGATATCTGGTCAGTTGAACTGTAGGGTCTGTTTCCATGCTGTACATCTCTATGACTCTATGAGTCTATAAACAGACCCTTTCTTTTCTCTTCCAAACCCACATTTCAAAGCAATTTAGCAAGTTGGTCTTTGTTCCGTAAAATCTAAGTCTCACATCCATACAAAACACTCCACATCGAACTCTTTACAATTTGCTTCTTGAGTTTATTTAGCTTTTCAGTTGTAGATTTATATTTAGCTTTAGCAAATGAAGCTTTTCCCATTGCTATCTTTTTTCGGATCTTCCATCTGCAGATTTGTTTCCTAAACATTTAAATTCTTGAACCTATTCTCGTTCTTTTCCTTTCATGAATACTTCTTGGTAACTTTGTGATACGCATTATTTTGGTTGTGCCAATGTTTACTTTCATTCCAAAATAATGCCTGCTGTTTACTGGCCTATTAGATGTATTTCCATTTACGATTATGAGAAACAGACTGGTTCCTGGGGTCGTCATCATTTGTGATGCATGCCTGTCTTTTCCTTTCCAATTTTTAAGCCATCCAAAGCTGATATTCTCTTCTACCATGAGATCTTCTGTCCATAGCCCCTCTCACTAATCTGTTTACTGTTAAGATGTACTCTGCCTTTGGTTATGCAATGTTTACATTCATTTCCAAATTAATGCCTGCTTTTATTAGTCTGTCTGCTCATTTTTGTAAAGGAAGAATATCAACACAAAAGTCGATGAGCTGAAATGCAAATTGAATTAAGAACTGAAACGGAAAACCTCTGCGAATAATGATTAAAAGAGCAGTGTGATATGCACAAAGGATTGAATTGGCCAGGAAGGATAGATCTTATGCAAGCAAAAGCAAAGGAGATAAGTGGCACTCAGTATAACGAACTGAAAACAACAACATTTGAGAATAAAGTGGTGTGTTATTAACAACATGTGGTGAAATAAGAAAACAAATGAAAAAAAATTTTGAAGAACTATGTGCAAAAATGAAAAAACCTTGATTAAGCTAGAGGAAAGTAATGTTGATTTTGTTGGGCCCCAGAAATACTTGAGAGTGAAATCAGAGTTGTAATAAATTAGGTTAAAAACTGAAAAGCACTTGGAGTTGATGGAATTCCTTTTAAGTTGAGTGAAAACAAGAGACATTGATGTTTACCAAACAAGATATTTACCTATCAGGAGAAAGGCTGAAGGATTTTATGCACACATAAATAATCACTTAAGAAAGAAAACAATAGCATTCCAACGTTCTAACTTTCATATGAGTAGTCTGATTGTCCACGCAAAGGTTGTGTATGGAAAGGCAAAAGATGGCAGAAGGAAGATGAACGAGAGAAGCAGTCAGTATTTTAAAAAGGACATGCATTTAGTAATTTGGACAGGAAATACATGATTGTTTTATGTATTGTGAAGAAGCATTCAGTTGGGTTGACTGAATTAGGCACTTGACAGTGCTGAATGATACTGAAATAGGCTGTAGAGATAGACCATTTATAAGAATGGGGCATGGAACAAAAAGCAACTCACAGTACAGTAACAGGAAGTCAGAACAATGTGTAATTGGAAGGTCGATCTGACGGGTGTTTTTT